GATGCAGTTAACTGTTCAGAAGTTATATACCAATAAAGTTGACAAAAACTCAAGGGTAGATTTCTTTTTTTTTTTAATTTTTTTTTTTTAACGTTTGTTTATTTTTGAGACAGAGAGAGACAGAGCATGAACGGGGGAGGGTCAGAGAGAGGGAGACACAGAATCCGAAACAGGCTCCAGGCTCCGAGCTGTCAGCACAGAGCCCGACTCGGGGCTCGAACGCACGGACCGCGAGATCGTGACCTGAGCCGAAGTCGGCCGCCTAACCGACTGAGCCACCCAGGCGCCCCAGATTTCTGCTTCCATCTAGGATTAAGAAAGAGGGACTGGATTTACCTTCCCATCTGAAACAACTTTTTAAAAAGTAGGCAAAACAATGAAAGCGTGGTTTTTATGACATTGGGCATTAGGCAGCAAAGGACAGTGATCTCTGTGAGCTGGGACACAGATTAAATGAAGGGTAAGGTCACACCAGCTTTCTGCCTAAAGAGTTTGCAGACTGCAGCACAGGGAGGAACATGGCCGGGCGGGGGCAGGGAATGCCCAGGGAGTCTCCCTGAGTGGAGACTTACAGGTGAGTCCAGGGAAGCCCAGGAGGGGTAAGTGCATGCATTTGAGGAAGCTGCTGGAGGAGCCTTGAGAACCCCCCTACAGGTTTAGGGAGGCAAATCCTCAGTCCCCCCCCACAAAGCCGAGGACAGTTTTTGCATCCACTGGGTCGACTGGAGAACCTCGTAGTTCACATGGCAGGGAGTAGTCTCACAATAGTTTTGCCTCAATAGTGAGTGGGGCAAAATTACCCTCAGATTAAACACTGCTGTTGTATGACCTAACAGTTCAATAAAAAGCAGGAACTGTAGGGATCAAACTATTCCCAAATACCTGTGTCCCAGAGTAGCATTCAGGCTTCCTCAAGGCTTCACAGCCCACACTCCGAGAACTGCCTCACAGTAAAGTAAGCACCTTTTAGTGACGGTTTTAAATTTATGGATTAAATCAGACCCTGTAAAAGTTTTATAAGAATTTAAGAACTGGGTTGTTCTCGTGCTCTTTGCCACCCCAGTGACCTTCCCAAGGCTGTGACAGCAGGCAAGAAGAGGTGAAAATGGGGAACCTCAGACCAGTTCTCTGAGAAGCGGGTTCTTCAAATCTGTTTCTCCTGGTGGAGGGCTCTGACTTTATCATCCCATCTTTCCAGAAACTCAGGGCTACGGAAATCAGATTGCAGTTTTCGTTTCTTTGATTCTGTGTTGAAGTATCCACTTTATCAGAGGAAGTACAATTTTACGTACAGTTGGTCCTGAGCTGTGAGAGCCCGCGTCACTTTCGGCGGGTGGTCGGGACACTTTGCTTTATCCAGACTCGAGGCCTTCATCTCAGAGACAACCTGTGCCCTGTAGGATTGACCATGATTCTTTTTTATAGCATTTGTGGAGTGTCCAGACACGTCCATAATGCTCCCTGGCAAGCATGGAATTGTATAGCATGATCCTGGGATTACCCAAAGCAAAAATCCTGAACTGTGGGTAAACACAGCGTGTTCTCAGAATGGCTTGTGGTGTCATCATGACTCCGTTTTGAGCATCACATGGAAGTAGTACGTATTCGTATGTGTAAACCCATACGCGTGTGTTTGTGCCCGTCTCACAAAAAAGAGTGCTGTTTTACGTAACCTCCTAACTCAAAACCCCAATCCGCGGCTCTGACTCCATTTACATTTGCTCTTTCCCTTGAAATGTTGCTCGTTACATTTACATAACTCCTCCTCAACAGCTCCTCTCATTCTGGCAGAGAACATGGTTGCTAACTAAGGATTACAGGAGCCTGCGTTCAGAGAATGCCACCTACCTTGACTTAATTGCAGTGGAAACCAAGAATATTGTCACATTGGAGGATAGAGCAGTGACATTCGGCACAATTCCTAAACGAAGGACATTTGACATTCTAACAGATTTCCTAATCCTCTTAAAGGCTCCTTCTTTTCACAAGCAGCAGACATCACTTGGTTCTCCTGGCTGCCGGTGGAGTTCACTAGAGTATGAGAAATCAGTCAAAAGAAGGCGGCACATTGTCTCATTGTCCTTGGATTCAGCTTCTCCAGTGGTTTGGGGGAAGTTTCCTTACTTTTCTCTGCAGTGAACTCCTTTCTTACATAAATGAAGGCCTCTGAATGTTGCATAGTGAACTCTTAGGCCTTTATCTGAGAAGTTTTAAAAAGCCATCCACAAATCCAGTGCTCCTGTGATGCTTTCTGTTGAACAGGGTGACTTTGTTGTACATTGTTGCATGAGAAAGGCTGATCTGGGAGGCACAGAGCCAAACAGCAAATAGTCCAAACCCCTTGCTTTCGCCGCATTGCTTTGTCTCTTTGATAGCTTTCCCTGCAGGGAGACAGTAAGGGTCTGGCTGTATTAAGGACTATTTTGTAACTGACATGGAGGCTACCGCTATTTTTTATTTGTTAAGTCTTACTAGGGTAGGTACTCAGATTGATTCTAAAGCCAAGTTGAGGTCTTTACCTGTGGGAGCCCTCCTGCCAGCATTAGCCACATTCAGACATTTGAAGCCGGCCAGCCGAGAGAAGGGCAAAATGCCAGTGGTGTGCGCTATTTCGACTTTCCTACGTGTGGTATACAGAAATGAACTAAATCCTAGATGTGCTTTTGTCCATGATGAAATAGAAATGGTGTGATGTCACGTGCTATTTTGAAAATATTCCAGTATCACCGTATCCAGTTATTTGCTAATTTCAGACTGGGAACTTTACCTTCTGCTTGTTGGAGGAGGCGGAGAAAGGTAGAGCCAATTCTGCGCGATTAGAGCACTCCTAGGGAGCTCTCATGTCTCTGGGTCATGTAAAGGCCATGGAGCTTCCTTGTCAACAAGGTTGTGTGCAGTGGAGGGAGGAAAGCAAACAAGAGTTTGTCCCCTGTGACATTTTCCTGTTACTATTCTGAATCATCTGGTTTAGAAAGTTGGAAACAGTAGTTCAGGTTCACAGTCCCTTATGTAAAAACGGTAAGAGCTCGATGCGTTTCAGAGCTCAGAAATGTCCAGAGGATGTATACAGCATGTAGTGATATTCCCAATGGGATCCGAGACAACACCCCACAATCACATAAGTATTTCCCCGGGGGGGGAGAAATGTGAAGTCACACAATGAGAAATAAACTAGAAGTATTAATGTGAGTCCATATCAAGTTTTACTGCCAAAAGTGTTTGCTTACATTTTGTTTTTACCTCTCAACTCCAGAATTGCAAATACGGGGCTGTGGCGGATGTTGCAGCGATAGAAATCGAGCCTGGTTGAGTCGTGGTAATATTTAAGAGAGCTGAATCACAGGACTGACAATTTGTGGTCTTGTGTCTCTCCCTACTGGGCTAGTTACTTCCTTTTCCAGTCTCCGCCTTCACTTATCTGTCACCCAGGAATAATTGCCTTATGGGCTGTTATGAAGATAAGCTAATGTATCTTGAGTACTAAACAATGATTGGCTTACAGCGGGTATTCAATAAATGTTAGCTGTTACAATTTTGCCTCTTCCCGTCCCTTTCGTTTTTTTACGAGATAAAAATTGCCTGAGGCAGCAGTCGTGGCGCTGCTCTGGATATAGGCCAAAGTAGCGTGGATTGCCTCGATTTCAGTAGAGAATTTAAAGTCTGTATTTAAAAAAAAAATTTTTTTTAACGTGTATTTATTTCTGAGAGAAAGAGAGTGCAAGCAGGGAAGGGACGGAAAGAGTGAGACTGAAGATCTGAAGCAGGCTCTGCGCAGTGAGCTCAGAGCCCAATGTGGGGATCGAACTCACGAACAGAACTGTGAGATCATGACCTGAACCGAAATCAAGAGTCGGCTCCTTTACTGACTGAGCCATCCAGGCGCCCCCAAAGTCTAAATTTTTGTATTGAGAACAACACACAAAGTCTTGTTAAATGACTAATACCACCTTAAAATTTGTTTGCAGAATGACTAGACTTCTCAATGATGAGTAAATATTTTGATTAATGTCACATCATATTTAAGTCTCTTGAATGCTTCATTTTAACTGTCTCTGAGGAAGGATTGTTTGCCACTAGCTGATTTGCCATTACGAAGCCCCTTTTAAAGTTTCTATTCAGGCACTCATCTTTTAGAAAAATATTTGAAAAGTACATTGTTGATGATGGTAGTGCTCTAAGAAAGATATAACTGAGGTTTATAATTTAGTATATTGGAAAAATGACATTGGGAGAGAAATCTTTCCCAGTTTTACCAGAAAAAAAAAAATTAGCAAGAACATTAATGTGCTGCTTAGTCCAAAACGATATGAATTTTAAAAGATACAATTTTAAAGTATTTTTTGTGTAGTGGAATTCTGCTTTTAAATTTGTAAGGACTTCCTTTTTTATTTTTTTCAATTTTTATTTTTTTTAAAGTTCACTTATTATATCTTGAGAGAGACAGAGAGCAAGTTGGGGAGGGGCAGAGAGAGAGGGAGAAAGAGAGAGTCCCAGGCAGGTTCTGTGCTAGCAGCACGGAGCCTGATGTGGGACTCAAACTCACGAACCATGAGCTCATGACCTGAGCTGAAACCAAGATGCTTAACCGACTGAGCCACCCAGGTGCCCCAGCCTTCCCTTTTTAAAAGGCGGAAATTATTGAAAAAGAATTACCTTTTGTTGTCCAACTGTTGTTGTTATTTTTTTTTTATAGCCTCATTTTGTACTTTGTAATCCACTCAGAGAAAATTCCCTGAAGTATCAACATCTGTTCTCATGATGTATTATCTTGACATACAGAAAATTTCAATTCATTTTCCTGACCTTCTCTGTTAATTTGTGAAGATTATAATTATAGATGCTGGTTCCACTGTTAGTTTTTGGATTAGAGGACAGAAGGATTTGAAGAGAAGAGACCTGTTAGCCATGCTGGGCATGTGCCCTCCAGGAGTTAGGAGCATCTCAGTGGGGCACAGTGGATCTGCCTGTATTTATATGCCTCGTACCGCCTCTCTTCGCAGCTGAACTATCAGCAGAAGGTAGGCATCATGTACTGCAGAGCTGGACAGAGCACCGAAGAAGAGATATACAACAATGAGTCAGCCGGCCCGGCCTTTGAGGAATTCCTTCAGCTGTTGGGAGAACGCGTTCGGCTCAAAGGATTTGAGAAGTACCGTGCACAGCTTGACACCAAAAGTAAGAAATACTTACACTCTCCTGCTAGGCTTATTTCCGTCCTGCTGTGTTGATGTTCATCTGCTAAATTGCCCATAAAACAATATTGCCATTTACTGCAGAACACCGCCGGGGATGGGGGAGGGGAAGCCAGAGAAGGAGGACGCGGCCCCAAAACATTTGACGACTGTAATCAAAGTAGCTAGGATCGGACTGTTAAAAAGAAACGGTGTTCTCAGAAGCGTGGATGGAGCGATAGGGCAGGGGTGCAACTCACGCGGGATTGCTCCTGGATAGGGTTGTGTAAATGTCACTATAGTTAGGTGAATGTTAGAGCGACTAAAAGTTCCAGAATCTTGTAGCCATCTGGTCATAAGCCCTGGAATTTTTTACTTTCGTTGATTTATCTTGTAATCCCCATGCTTATGGATGCAGTCAATCTTCATGATAAGGGTTTTCTTTTTCATTTTTGTCTTCTATTAAGATTGAGGTTTTTTTGTTTGCCTCTTTTCTATTTTTATTGTTCGTACTCTAATTGAATCCCTAAGGAAATAGGCCTCTTAGCTTTGGTATTAGTTTGGCTCCTGAAATATATTGATTAAGAGCACGATACTGGAACAGTCTTTTTAGCTGTGGCTCATGAACACACAAGGTTGTGCGCTCCCATTCCCCACGCCGTTAATAAAATAGTTACGTTCTCCAACATCTGGTTAGGTTACAGTGTGTTGATGTCTGCTGTGTGTCTGCGAGGAGGCAATTTTAAATTTTATCTCAGAATCCATCCATGGACACCTATGACCTGTTTTTCTTTGAGAGGGTCTTTGGATTAGCACATCTGTATGGCAGTCTATAGTAATCTCCGATTTTCTGTACAGGAAATTAAATAAGGAGTTGAGTCATGAAAACAGAAAAGCATTCATAAACTCCACTGCAGGGAAGAATTTCCTGTTGCCATGGTTTTGCTGTTGCCAACTTGGAAACGACATGCAGGAGAGACTATTAAAGCCCATAAATAGCCTAGACTCTTAAATATTATTTTAGCGTTCCATACTCTACTTGCAATTGCGTAAAACATTAAATCTTAATATGTCCTGAACTCTTCTTTCCCAGATTTTCTGACATTTGCCCTATACGCTTCATTCATGTTGTCCTAGTTTGCAGTGTCCTATAAATTACCACCACCACGAAGAGCTATATGAAAGCTTCTGGGAAGAGTGTACTAAGCACTCTGCTTCTATGCATGAATGGCCAGATTGGAAATTGATTAAGACTGTGTATTATTTGTGTGTTCACACATTCCCAGCTGCCTCTTGATGATGAAAGGCAACATGAGAAAAGTATAGCAAGACCATACTTAAGTAGTGTGGCATCAAGTAAGACACTGAAATAAACAAAATAAGCACCGTACGCATATTTTGCCTCAAAATCCCAATAGCTGCACAGGCTAGAGGGGGATAAGCGTGGGTTAGCTGACCTCCTCTAGCAGCATACTTGTTCTGTAATATTCAGCAGGGAAGGGTTCCTTTTCACTGTGGTGCCTCCTTTAAGACCCCTAGTAACCTTTCAGGGCATAGCTGATGAGCAGAGGAATGAGCAGACAGTTTCTTTTTCTGTCCTTTCAGAGTGTCAGATTTCTTCCAGGGAACAAAAAGTCGGAAAGTATTTCTATTGTAAAGCTCTAAAAGAGGCAGTTTGCATGTTTATCTCTCTTACTTCAAGCCAGTAGTGTCAAAACCAGCCACTGCACGTCCCACAGCTTCTCATTGGCCATGGCACCCCCAAAGATAAGATTTTGCTCTGTGTGCTAGAAGATAATCTCATCACATTTTGTCTAACCTTACTTTGTGTCAGGAAACTCTCTCTTTCAGTATAATCATTAAAAACAGAAAATGCTGGGGCACCTGGATGGCTCAGTCCGGTGTCTCACTTTTGATTTCAGCTCAGGTCACGACCTCATGGTTCATGAGTTCGAGCCCTGTATCGGGCTCCGCACTGAGTGTGGAGCCTGCTTGGGACCCATTCTTTTCTCTCCTCCTCCGCCCCCCCCCCCAATTTCTCTGTCTCTCCCATGCTTGTGCTCTCTCTTTCTCTCTCTCTCTCTCTCTCTTTAGCTCTCTCTCTCTCAAAATAAACTAAAAAAAAAAAAAAAAATCTTCAAAATAAATAAATAAATAATAAGTAAGAGAAAATGTTTTCCAGGACAAGTGTTCCTATAGGATCACTTCTTGTACATATGACAGTGTAGGTGTGATTGGATCTGTGGGTTCATAGTTTCCATCAAATAAAAGTAGTAATTGCCAATCTTCATTTTTTTTCTGTTGCCATCTTCTGAATTTCCAATTACACATACATTAGATCACTCACTAGTGTACCTCAGGTTAATGAAGCTGTTTTAATTTTTTTAACCTTTTTTTTCCTGTGCTTCCATTTGGATAATTCCTATTAGTATATCTTCCAAGTTCACTGTGCTTTTCTTCTACAGTGTCTTAATCTGCTGTTAATCCAGTCCAGTGAAATTTTCATTTGAGATATTGTCATCTTCAGAAGCCAGAATTGCATTTGGTCCTCTTCTCAGTTATCTAGTTTATCTTCATTAGGTTCATGTTGTCCTTTAAATCCTTGAATATGTTTATTTTATTTTATTTTTTTAGTGTTTATTTTGAGAGAGAGAGAGAGAAAATGCATGAGCGGGGGAGGGCTAGAGGGAGAGAGGATCCCAAGCAGCCTCCCGGCTCTGCACCCCAGCACGGATGCAGGGTTCAATCCTACAACCACGAGATCATGACCTGAGCCCAACTCAAGAGTTGGGACACTTAACCAACTGAGCCACCCAGGTGCCCCTCCTTGATGTATTTATGATAGCTGTGTTAAAGTCTCTGCATGCTAATTCTGTCGTCCTTGTCATTTGAAGCCTCCATTTAACAAATCTTCTCTTGCTTTTGAGTTACATTTTAGCGTTGCATGTGTCTGGTTACTTTTGATTGGAGAGTATATATTCTGAATGTTTTCTGGTTGAGTGTCTAGATTGTGTTGTCTTCTTCAAAGAGTGTTGAGTTTTGCTTTGGTGAGCAGTTAAGTTACTTACAAAACAGCTTGATCTTTATGGATCTTGTTCTTAAGCATACCCAGGGCAGTGTTTACTCTCTAATGTAGCTCTGCTACTAAGGCATGACTTTTCTTATGTCTGAGGACCTGCATATTCAATGAGGTCTCTTTACTGTGGCTGGTTAGAACTTGAGTGCCTTCTAACCCTATGGCAGCCGTGAGAATTGTTTGCCTTACGATTCTTTGGTGGTTTTTCTTTGCCTAATAGTTTTTCCCTCTTTCTCTTACTGAGTTATAATTGACATATAGCATTATGTTAGTTTCAGGTGTACAACATAATGATCCGATACGTGCATGTGTTGTGAAATGACCACCACCACAAGTCTAATTAACATGTGTCACCATACAAGGTTACAAAAAATCTTTTTTCTTGCGATGAGAACATCTAAGATCTACTCCTAGCAACTTGCAGATATGCAATACAGTATTATTCACCGTGGTCACCATGCTGTACACTACCCTAATAGTTTTTCTTTGCCTGGCTTGTGGAATCTTCCTCTGTGTGTGTGCAGCTTCATCGTGAGCCCAAGACTCAAGGAGACCCTTATGCGGATTTCTGAACCTCTTTCACTGTGTAGTTTCCTCCCCTTTGGTACGCTGCCCTGCGAATATCAACTACCTCAGGCTTCCTGAACTCCAGTATATTTTGGCTTTCCCTCTTCAAAGCCGTGCACTGTGCCGCTGTTCCAAAAGTTCCTCCAGGTAGAAAACCTGGTGGGATCAGAGGGCTCATCTTCTTTTATTCTTTTTTCTCTGGGATCACTATCCAATGCTGCCTATTGTAAATGTCTGAAAAAAACGTTGTTTCAGATATTTCGTCAGTTTTTCTAGTTACTTACGATGGGAGGACAAGTCCCGTACCAAGTTACCTCTGGTGGAAGCCGAGGTCCCAGATGTTCTGGGTGTTTGTCATTTCATTTACTCCTCAAAGTGTTTACTAGGTACTGGTTCTCCCCATTTTACAGAATTGGCTTCTTTAGATTAACACGCCCAATGTTAGACAGCAAGGAAGCACTAGTGAGGTGGAACAGATCCTAGTGCTGTGGTTAAGGAGGTGTTCAGAGAAAGCATAAATGTGGAATTAAATACAGTGAAGCCCAGGGCTTTCTGCCTTGTGCCTGTGACTCTTCCCCTTGTCTCCAGCCCTTGGGCTAAAATTACCCAAGCCAACTCATGAAACAGCTCTACTTGTCATGCATTACAATTATATTTGGATTTTAGTACTTTGGTAAAGGAGGGAAAGGCTCAGAAGAAATGGTTCTTCTCTTTGCCAGTGTTTCATACAAAGTCCATTTTCCTGTTTTCAGAAGTAAGGTCTTTTAGCAAATAAGCTACAAATGGGGCGGGGTGGAACAGTTCCACAAAGAAGAAATTTTCAGGAGTGGGTTTTTGTTCCCCCTCCTTACTTTGCTTCCTTATTTGAATGATATAACCTCTAGATAATTACCATCCTCTCATTCTACAGCAAATGCAAAAATAAACTTCCCACCAAGCAGTGTGTTATTTGAAAGCTAGAGACCACCTTCATTTATAACTGTGCGCATGGATTATTATTTGGGAAATCATTTCCTGAATGAGGCTTGTTTGTCAAGTCAGAACAGAGGAGACTTTAGGAGCCCTTTGTAAGCATTCCTTCCAAGCCTTGCCTTCATTAATTTGCTGTAGTATTAGTGAATGCTTGTTGCTTCCCCCTTTTGTTAGCAGTGTTTTAAAAACCAAGGAAATAAATCGTCCTGTATTTGGAATATTTAAACTTCGATAGGGAAGGGGGTAAAACTAGCATTGTTTAAATGCTCTGCATATGCAAAGGGCATTTGGAGTCAGAGACACTGATGAATGAAGGAAAGGACTCTTTCTTCACCTCCTTCAACTTCAAACTACTTTAACGTAAGGTTTTTCCTCTGAGTGTTTCTGGGATGTGCTTGGCAAAGAAATGAAAATACATAAAAGTCCTTGTTTAAGGAGACTACACTTTTTACCTCAACTGCACAAAATTCCAAATTCTAATCAACACATTTCCTGAGCATCTTTTATGGGCTAGCACCTCTACATACGTTAATTCACTTAATCCTTACAGCAACAAGAATATCACTGGGCAGAGAAGTGATGTGATTTGTTTGTGGTCATTTAGCAAAGATGCCACTGGCATTCAAATTCAGATCTTCTTACTTCCAAATTGGGAGGCCAGGTAATTGCAGGTGTCTCGCAAAGTGAGGAGTTGGTAGAAAATACTAGTGGCTGATTCCTAAGTACCAAACCCACACCCATCTTGTCCTTTGTCATCTCTCAACGTGCTACTGATTTTGAGATGCCTTGAGTCCCAGGTATGTTCACATGCACCCTCACATATCCTGAAACTGACACCATATGAATGCACCTGCCATGGCCAAGGGTACTGCTATAAACTCTTCTTTATTCCACCCTCATTAAAGCAGAGTAACTCATCTGCTGGCTGTGTCTAAATGTACATTGAAAGAATATTAGTAAATATGATAGATGCCAGAGCAGGTAGAATTCTTGATTTCCCCAAATACTTCATTAGTGAGTGAGTGAAATAGTGCCACAAGGGCAGAAGTGTGTCTCATCTCGAATGATGCCAGTGTTCCAGATGTCCGTTCTTGGCCCTGACTCTGTTTCTGAGCATTGACTTCTGCATTCCCCAGACCCTGAGGCAAGGTTGCATAGACAGGACATCAGGGGTCTTAAAGGGTTGGTCCCCAGCAGCCAACTGACAATGATTATATTTCAAGTTAAATAAAAGGATAAAAATGAGATCTACAGGCTATCCGACTTCATCTTACATTTGATGTGTTCTCTAGTGGTGAGGACATTTAATAAACGGAACTTAAGCTTTCTTCCTTCTGTTGACTTTATTTAGTCTGCATGAGTTTAGGTAACAAGATTACTTTTCTCTTGTGTTCATAAATATTTAAAACTAGGAACTTTCCTGAAATCAAGTTGCATAGGCCTGTTGTCCTTCATCTAGCTTTTCTTAACTCTGGATACATCCGTTAGTGACTGCAAAATGGTTGTAAAAAAAATCTAATTACTTTTCCTTATCCAGATTCATATACATACACTTTATCAACCAAGTTTCAGCCTACAGAAAAGTAAAGGAGTTGAGCCCAAAAGAGAAGTCAGAGATGATTATGACACTGTCTCTGAAACTGCTCTACAAACGTATTAACCTATTCATACCATTCATGGGGTTTTGGAGTGATGAGGGTCTGGAGCCGATGGCCAAGAAAGAATTCTTGGGATGTTTTTGGTGCAAAAAGGTGATTTTATTAAAGTGCAGGGACAGGACCCATGGGCAGAAAGAGCTGCACTGGAGTTGTGAAGAATGACTGGTGATATACTATGGAACTGGGGGAGGTAAAGGCAAAAAGGAGGCCTCCAGAAGGACTTTCATATACTAAAGACTGATAATATACGAGAGGCCTAGCTCTTGTCAAGCTAAGGTTGTTTTCCCTCTAGTAAGGCACCGGACATTACAACTGTAGGGGGTTCCTAGAGAAATGTTATACTCTATATTTGTCTCAAGTATTTGTCAATGGGCTGCAGGTTATAAAGAAATTTAATTTTACCTGCCATTTCCTTCTTGCCTTTGTTCCCCACATCACTGTGGAGGGGAAGGTGATGTTGGGGCTCCAGGAAACTGAGTCTATAGGTTTCTGGAGATTAGGCTATTGATAAGATTGCCTCTTTCTAGTAATTTACTAAGACATTTATAAACTGATGGAGACTTGTGTCCTACATGACTGTGATCTCTTACCAGTTGACCATTTGTTTTCTTTCCTTTCCTTTGTTCTTGGGCAGCCCGGAGTGCCTGGGGAATGTCACATGTATCCCACCTGGGGGGCAGGGGAGGAGGGTGTGCTTAACTTGTGCTTTGTCCTCAGCTTGCCTTGTGCTCTCTCATCACAGTCTTCAAATAGAAATGCCTAATGTAGGATATTATCCCATATCTACACTTTTTGAAAGCAGCAGAGAAAAATATTATCGTTCCTTAATTATTCAGCGTCTTCTTATCATCTACACTGAATATTAGAAATTTTACTTTCCATGACTTAGCATAGAATGTTGACCTTATTAGTGGGTATATGCCACCCACTGGCAGTATGATTTGGAGGCAAATCCCATGATTATCAAGATGACCCGTAAGATGCCCGAATTTACTTTTAAAGCTCCATACAGATAAGAAGGAGCATTATCTTCTTTCCACCCCTCTTCTCAAGCATATTTCCCATTATAAATTTTTCAGTATATATATTCTTTACCCAGAGCAAAATGGAATTTTGTCATTTTCATTTTTTCCTGATTGCCAAGCTGATTTAAGTTTTTCATGGTTTCAGGGTTTCCGGGTCACTAAAAATATAATAATAGAAACATTGGATGCTTTATTCTTTGGGAAATATAGCAAACATTCGTTTTCCATTCTTTCTGGTAACATTTAACAGTTCTGTTACTTATATAGTATTTTCAGGATTTTGAAATTCCTTCTGGCTCGGAAAGGAAAATTTCATTGTTTTGACTCTTGTTTCATCTCTGAAGCTTTTGGAACTGTTCAAACTGTTTAAAATTATCAGCAAAACTTGAGGGTTTCCAAAGGTCCCCAGAAAAAGGCTGGTCAAGCAGCGTCTGTTACATAAATGAGGCACGCAGAAAGGACAGCGAGAGTGGGCCAGAAGTAGAAAAGCAAGGTTACCTTCAGTGTTGTCTTCCACATCAGCTTTCCTCTCTGGCAGTAATTCTTTTAGAATTAGACAGACATACAAAGCAAAATGTAACACATGAGTTCGGGATGACAGTCTCTTTTCTAGTTCATTAATTTTGCCCAAAATTGACTTGAAACACATGTAAGTACACGTCAAAGCTGACACATTCGCTTTAAGGTTTAAAATGTACTAATCGGTTCAGAAGTTATTTATAAGTAGAGCCCTTAAAAGTAGATATGTTCTTCGTACTTAAGGCGTGTCTTAGTCCAATTATTTATAGCAGTAATTTATAGTTTTTTGTGTTGGTGGCCATTAGCATTTAGAAGATACTTTTTTCTTGGGAAGCTATCTGTTGGTACATATTTTAGCAATTTTTTGAAAAATAGTCTGTGCTTTATTTCAGTTTTAGCTTGTTTTTTTAACCCTTTGCATTTTATGTCAGCTTCAAAGATTAAGTTCCTTCAAGAAGCTCGAGGTTGAAGCTCCAGGCTCTAGAACATTTTTACAAGCCTGTCTGCAAGCCACCATGGTGGTCTGTTTGTGGAGCAGTGCCTAAGGGCAGCAGAGCTCCTGCATCACAGTCACCCTGGGGGTGTTTATTAAAATAGATTCCTTTGCCCAGCCCTGTACCCACTGTGCAGTATTTCTGGGGGTGGTACATGCAAATCTGCCTTTTAAATTTTTTTTTTTTTTTCAACGTTTATTTATTTTTGGGACAGAGAGAGACAGAGCATGAACGGGCGAGGGGCAGAGAGAGAGGGAGACACAGAATCGGAAACAGGCTCCAGGCTCTGAGCCATCAGCCCAGAGCCCGACGCGGGGCTCGAACTCACGGACCGTGAGATCGTGACCTGGTTGAAGTAGGACGCTTAACCGACTGCGCCACCCAGGCGCCCCCAAATCTGCCTTTTAAACCAGCTCCCCAGATGCCAGTGTGCATGCTAAATTTTGAGAACTACTGCCTCTTGGTGTATACCAGAGGCTTTGTCTTGGCGGCTTCCCTGAAGTGCAGTAAAATGTTCTGGTCTTCAACGGTATGGTTGATGAGGCTCGAATTTACCCAGAATGAACAAACAAACGCACTAATGTCATTTAGCAGCCTGCAAGTCCAGGTCCTTTAAGACCAGAGACGCTCCCTTTCGGTTGGACAGCTAATTATTCTCTTCTCTGGTTTCTGGTTATTTCTGGGCAATTGATTTGTTGATGATTAAGGGTGTAGAGGTTGCTCTTACTTAAGGAAGATGAAAGCAGAACACAGTCTATAAAAACTTGTTGGACATTGCTTATAATACCTTTGTTATTCAGGTTACAGACCTATTAAGTTTTCATCTGTTTGTTAAGAATAAAACAACTCTCTTGCTTGAATCAGAAATATTGGAAAAGGCGTTCTTAACCTGACATCTGTGGACAGAGTTCAGGGGTGTGTGAACTTGGACGGAAAATCATTTTACATTTATTTTCACTGACCCCTAATTAAAATTTAGGACTTCCTTCAATTATGAATGTGGGCAACAAACCACAGTTGCGTAAGTTCTACCTATGATTGTATTGCAAGTTGAAAGCATAGATATTTCCATATTGTATTTTTTTTTGGAGATCCCTCAAACTACTGCTTATGCACATCACTACTTCAGAGTTATAGTAGTTCTATTCGATCAATTGCTAAAACTTATTATAGAAATCTAATGCTATTATAGTTTAAAATTATTTTTGATAACTATTTCTCAGTATAATTGATTTCTATTGAAATCAGATGTAGTTTGTTTCATGCATTTACAAATACTGTTCTGAGAAGGGACCCAGGCTTCCCTGGACCGCCAAAGAGAATCAGATACAAAAAATGGGTAAGAACACTGATGCTAGTTCTTATCTAGCATCTTTTCATCCTAAACGATTTCCTTTGTTTTCTTTTTTTGGAGATGTTTTCCTTAAATGAACTATTTTTCCCATTCTTACAGTCATCTCATCATTATATCTATTTTTTTTTTTTTACTGTAGCTGACTCCACTGGAACCCATTCTCTGTATACAACATACAAAGACTATGAAATCATGTTCCATGTTTCCACCATGCTGCCATACACACCTAATAACAAGCAACAGGTAAGAGATCCCAGTGTTGTCTGTGTTTCCTACCCTTTTTCGTTTCCCCCAGAAGCCTAAGTGGCAAGTTTGTAAAATCTGAAACCAGAATTGAATGTTGCACCTGTCACCACAGCAGGAAGCTTTTGTACTTTGCGGAAATAACGAATAGCAAATGAGCTGAAAACAAATGAAGAGACCCAGATTCTAGGTTAACAGCCAGCTGGATGGCTTTGTGAATTAATCATTTGCTTTTCACCCACGGGGATTGAGGTTTTCATGGAATCCGAAGAGAACAAGTTAAAATCATGGTGATTAGGTGACCCTGCAGTGTTGCAGAGAACATGTATGAGTGGGTGAAGTTCCATCTCAAGAGGCCAGGGGACAAAGCAGGAAAGTACTGATGTGCCATTTCAGATTTCAAAGGAGGTTTGGTACACTGACTTGGAGAAAAATCAGAATAAATGTCCGTGGGATCTCAGAAAAAGGTTTTTTTCTTAATGTTTGTCAGGAGGACAGCAAAGAACATAAAAAAACGCTTGCATTTGCATACATCATACACGGTGTCTTTTAAAAAAGTCTAAAAGCACAACGCCTGTTACTAAAATGGGGTCGATGAGGTAGTAAATGAAGACACTAAGAAGTGACGCATTGTTACAGAGCAGCATGGAAACTGGCAGTATTGTTTTGGAAGGTATCTGGTAGTTGTTTTTTAAAAATATTGCAAAATAAATGATGCCAAACTGACATTTAAAAGAGTCAGAGAGCTAACAGCGTCTCCTTTCAAAAGCTGTTATAAACACAAGCGGTCCAGTATTCCCTCTGACCTTAAAATGGATATAGGGGCGCCTGGGTGGCGCAGTCGGTTAAGCGTCCGACTTCAGCCAGGTCACGATCTCACGGTCCGTGAGTTTGAGCCCCGCGTCGGGCTCTGGGCTGATGGCTCAGAGCCTGGAGCCTGTTTCCGATTCTGTGTCTCCCTCTCTCTCTGCCCCTCCCCCATTCATGCTCTGTCTCTCTCTGTCCCCCAAAAAATAAATAAATAAACGTTGGAAAACAAAAAAAATGGATATAGATTTTGTTATTGTCAGCTTTTGTGCTAACAGAACATAGGCCAGCTGCAGAATGAATCACACCGTCTTTCACAAAATTTAACCAGACACTGATCTGATCTAACACTTTGTCACTGCAGGTGTGATTAAATCGCAAATCCAGGTAATGAGATTTTGCTTGGCTATGATTACGAAAGTAATCAAAAACAGGCAGCAAAGCAATGAATCAGCTACAAATCTTAAAATAAACCTATTGAAGATAAATTCCATGATCTAGAACTTGTTGACAGTTTGTTTTATGCAAATTCCAAGTTCTACATTACTCTGATAGGAAAGCATCATGCTAAGAAAAATAACATGTTTCTCACTTTAACCAGTAAGTGGTCAAAAAACTTCAGGACATTCACAAGTAGTATTTAAAGGCTTATCCTACCTGAGTACACAGCAGAGAAAGGGAAGATGTATGGAAGGGTGAAAAATTTAGTTAAGATTCAATTAAATGAGTTGAAGTGTGTTGAGCAGCATGAGTTGGCATTAAAATGGACAGCTGTCTAAATTATTTAATTTGGGGGTCCAGTCAAGGTGAAAGTGTTATTAGGTCCTATTTCAGGATAAAAGAGTGATTGGTACTGCTGCATTTTAAGAAATTTTAATTCGCTAGCTAGAGAATTTATTTCTTCTTTGTAGATCACTTTATGCTTTTTAAAAAAACAAAATATCTTTTAAAATCTTGTGGCAGGAATTTGTTTATAAACACTGTCTTTCATTATATATAATGTGAGATGGATAGATGGATTTATTTCTATTTGGGTCCTTTATTAAGATATTAGTGTTACATATCAAGCAATATTTGGAATAAACAATGACATTGCATCCAAAAGCAATGACATCATGTATGCAGCAATGACATAATACATAGACAAATTGTATGCCCGAGATTCTGAGTAGATTAATAATGTTTAATAATGGGTACATTCTGTATAACCATCAGCACAGACCATCTTTATTTCTGTAACATCCAATAATATATCATGTTTAGAAATGAAAGTAAATGGCCTCATTAGAGGATAATTTGGGATGCTTTGAAATTCCTAAGGTTAAAAGTACATTTCTGGAACATTCTAACTCCCAATTCTCAACCGTAATCTAAAAGGCTATTGTTTCTCCCAGCTAACAGCTAATACTAGATCATTGATTTTACTTGTATGTAATTTGTGTAAGTTATAGTCACTGGCGAATTTTAAAAAAACAGTATATGAATGTAAGCTTATGCCTAACAGATAGTTGATATAATGTTATATCTCATTATTTTCCTCCTTGTAAGAGCCTCTATATAATAAATACGAGAAATGCAAATTTTGTTCAACTTTTTTTTCACACTGTTGACTTAAATATGTAATAAACCCCACTTGGAAAGTCACTGGCCTAGCATGAGTTGGGGTGCCTAAATTTGAAAGCCACCTTCCAAAACACTTTTTAATGTGAAACAGAAGGTGGTCTTGGGCAATTTAAAAAACTATTTAGACTTGAAATTTGACCTGCTTTGAAATTGTTACATTTATATCCTGGAACATTAGTAATTTCTGCACTCCCAGCTCGTGGCACAAAAAGCATATTGGAAAACACCTTAGCCACATTTCTTTAAATGAAGTGAATTAAACCAGAACATAAATTGCAGTGTAATTACTTCAGCCATTCTCATCTCTAAAAAAATCTTCCCTGTGGCAAGTTTCTTTCTTCTGTGAAAATGGAACAAAACTGTTGTTATGGAAACTGAGAATTTGGAGATGCTGGAACTTGGCATAAGATGCCAGATATTGGTTAGCTCCTGAATGGGCTCTACGTTTTATGCAAATTTCAGAATATTCATTTCCGTAACCTTCCTTGGAGGGAGTAAGATGGGCTAAATTATTGACAGTAACTGTAGATTACCTACCTTAACATGCCCTGATTAATGGTGAATGTTTTAAATACAGTTATGTAAGGGAATTGGGGAGGAAAAAAGCAGAGTGTTGTCATTTATGTCGTTTGCTTGTTTTTTCTTTCAGCTCCTACGGAAGCGGCACATTGGAAATGATATTGTCACAATTGTTTTCCAAGAGCCCGGAGCACAGCCATTCAGCCCAAAAAACATCCGATCCCACTTCCAGCACGTTTTTGTCATCGTCAGGGTTCACAACCCCTGCACCGACAGTGTTTGTTACAGGTACCTACCTGCGCCCTGGTAGCAGCCTTGTGGGCGGGGCCAGGGGGGGTCACGTGCGGGGGGCGGGGCATCCTGCTCCGCTTGCTCAAGCAGCAGTGGGAAGTCTATTGCCATTTACTTCTGTCTTTAAACTATGTGTGCGGATGGGCGATTCACGCGATGATGTCACCCAATGGCGTTGACATTGCCCAGACACGCTGGTTAGACACCTGCTGTTTCCATTTGCACCTCCTCCTTAGGTGGTGTCCTTGGTCCATACCATCTGGTCACCAGCTAATTACTCATCTTGCTAATTATACTTTGCATTTGGTGTGGCAAGAGCAGAGAAGAATGATGTAATAAGTAGAGAAGTTTTGTTTTAATTACTATTGTCTAAAAAGCCCAGACCCTTGCTTTAAGACTGGTTTGATTCACTCTAACGTTTCTGACTACAGTCTTCCAAGTATTTGTATGCACTAGTAAGCGCTTGGTGGAATTGTTTCAGTGTCCCATGTCGACCCAGTCTCGTGAGTGTCCGACTTCAGGCATCTATCTGCAAGAGGCCTTTGGGCGTTGACAAAGATAAGAACCTGAATTGCTGGGTCAGCATGGTCATAGTACCAAGAAGATGTGTCAGGCTATTCTAGCATTAACAAGATATTTCTAATAGGAATCTGTCCGTTTAAAGTAATGGAATTTTATCCTGTCTTTCCATCCTTAATTTGGAAGATTAGGCTTTGCTAATGCTGGATATTTGTTTTTAAATTAATAAAGCCACCTACCCAGAAAGTGGCCAATACAGACTGACAGTGGTTTGTTGTGAGAGCCACAGCTGTCTACTTTTGGGAGTCAATGCAGGTTAATTACGGGAGGGGAGCAAACAAGTTCAGGGAACAAAACAAGGAAAGGTTACTCCGGACTGCTGTAAACCACTACCTTCCTTGCACAGCCCGTAATAACTGTGTATGTTGGGCTCTGGTGATAAGCCCAACACTATTTCTAGGCACTTTACATGGGTTACCTCATTTAATTTGTAAAACCCATGCATTAGGTACTGTTTTTGTCCCCCATTTTCGGTGAGGAAGCTTAAGCAGTGGGGCTAGGTCCCTGGCCCGAGGTCAGCTGGTACCAGGCAGTTTAGATTGTAATGCACTAAGTCTGATTCTAGAGCCCAGCCCCTTCACTGCTCAGCCATGTTGCCTCGCTCACATGCCCTGTGAAGCACGGGTCTTTGCTGCCCTTGCTGCTGACCTACAAGCTGCTCCAGAACTCTGGGGCTAAGGGGGTGGGAACTCCAACAGAAGAGACCTAGATCTGCAGCCTCTTACCAAGAATCTGGTCCCTGGAAGCTGCTTTATTTAGAATAACATGGCTATTATTTAGAATAGAATGACAGACTTAAGTGCAGAACATTTGACTATACCTGGGAGGGATGGCTATTTGCACTTAGAAAATATCCCCAAGCAATTGAAACACACTCTGTACTGGATTTATGCAAGGATTTCATGGAACTCTGATAGAAAGCTAACCCCTTTTGGAATGGTCACTATGACGTTTGGGAGCGAAAAGCTTCGCGGTTTGTTTTAGAGATTTCTTCTTTAAAAGCCATTGTCTACATAAAGTGACGTCTAGTAGAAATGTAATGCAAGCCATATATTAATTTTGTATTTTTTAATAGCCATACTTTTTAAAGCAACAAGAAATGGGTAAAATTAATTTTAGCAGTATAGTTTTTGACCCAATAATACATTTTATTTACCTGGTATGTCCAAATAATTATTATTTCAATAGGTGATTTTTAAGTTTTAAAAATTACTGACCTGTTTTACATATTTTTGGAGTAAAACTTTGGAATCTGGAGTGCATTTTAGACTTACAGCTCATCTCAATTAGGATGTTTGATTTTCATTGGAAATAATGCTTAGATTTCATAAAAGTTGCAACTGGAAAAGTTGACTCATATACTCGGATTGTTCCAGACGTGCTTTTTAAAAGCTTTTGAATGACTGAATTGAGTGTCACTTTTTAAAATATGTAAAATATGGCCAGGGTAAGTCTAAATAGACTGATCATGAGGAAAGGTCTCTCAACCTTCTTCAGCACTTTGCTAGAGAAGGAAGTGATGTCTGTTTGATTCTTTTTTATTAAAAAATTTTTAATGTTTATCTATTTTGGGGGGGTGCAGGGGCAGAGAGAGGGGGAGACACAGAATCCAAAGCAGACTCCAGGCTCTGAGCTGTCCACACAGAGGCTTGAACCCACAAACCATGAGATCATTACCTGAGCCAAAGTCGGATACTCAACCAACTGAGCCACCCAGGCACCCCTGTCTTGTTCTTTTAAAACTCCCCACCCCAGCCTTGAAAACCATGCTTTTTGCTATCTCTGTTATTTTTAATCTGCTGCCTGGCGAGCCCATCTTCTTAGCCCCACCATGCAATGTGACGCTGGACCCTTTGTGGGAAGACAGTGAACACCCCAGCTCATGGCACATGAGCTGGCCTGGGATTTCCTAGTTGCCAAGCATGTTTGAAGACCCAGTGCCCTGCTTAGAATCTGTGAACTTGGGCCTTTTGCAAATCCAAGAGCACGTGCCAACTTGCAGTATCACTAAAAGGAATCACAAGAAATGAAAGTAGAGATCTTTTCCTGTTATTAATTTGAGGTATATTGATTGTTTTCAGTCCATCTCAAAGTGAGGTAGGCATGTTTCCCGAAGTGTGTGGGGATGTCAGGAGATGCTTCAGGTCCCAGAGCAGATAGGGCAACTCTCTTGTAGTTAATGCTTGGGGGAAAGAGTGTGAAGGGTTTATGTTCTCTGAAAATAAATGTATCATGAAGCAGAATAGGTCTTCCAAAGAATTTCTGTACCTGTGAGTTTTTCTCATACCCTAGCCACTCCCCAGAATACTAAGGATATGAAGTTATGGGCCTCTTTCATTTATGTACTGTACTTTGGTTGAAAAGTTTATAGAGCTGCATTGATTTCTACTAAATTAGATTTAAATCTAATTTAACTCTACAGTGATACAGTTAGAGGGATTCAAATACTTTTTATCATTGAAAATCTCTTGTTCTGAGCTTTTTCCCCAGGGAACACTCACATTTACTTATTGACATCTCCTTGGTACGTGTGCTGAGGAAAGCACAAAAGGGGTTTTCTCAAAGGAGCTTCTTGCTGTGATCAGGTGGAGAAGTGCGGGGTCCGTACAGGCTGAAGTTATAAGGAACGTTGAACTGACAAAATGGGGTTTGGCATATGTTTTAGAGCATAGATGGAGGAAATTCAGTGGGGCAGAAAAAGAAATAATTCTAGGAGTGGCCAATGGTGTAGACAGAAGTGTAGACAGAGGAAAGGGTGGGGGGTGGCAGGTGCCGGAAGGAGGTGCTGCCATAGATGGGGTTACGAGGCAGTGGAGCCCTTTGGAATGCGAGGCCATCCGGTAGCACGGTATAAAGAGAGCTTTAGGAGAATTCACCCGATGTCACCATGCAAATTAGTTTGTATACAAAAAGACAACTTTGGAACTTGTTCATTTATTTTCACCAGCTCTTTGCAGCTCTTATCATGTGTATGCTAGGCACTCTTCTAGGCCCTGGGATATAATAGGGGAACGAGAGAAAAATCCTATGGTGGATGTGGAAGTGAGGTCCTGAAATAATGGATGTTCTATCTCTCTAGGGATTGGAAAGTTTATAATTTATAATTTATTTATAATAGGAAAAACTGACTATTTCTAACTAATTCCAGAGACCAGTTAACCTTGAACGGTAGACATAGCCAAGAACTCAGAAATTAATCACTAAGTCTGTACTAAAGCTTATGCTCATACCTGATAAGAGAGCCCCCGGTCTCTTGTTTTATTTGTATCATTACACTGAGCTTAATTATCTGGTCCTGGTTGATAGAGCAGATTAGAAGCAACAAATCAAAAAGATGAAGAACTGTTCAGTGGCAAGGATGTGCTGTGAGACATCACTAAGTGATTCCTGAGATGTAGAAAAACTCTTCACCTCCAAGTGAAGAGTAAGCACAGCAGTCTGGAGTCATTTGGTTTGGAAACAAAGGACCGAATATACTTAGCTCACCCCCGAGGGCCTCACTTTGTTAAAACACAGTGTAAAAATTTTTCCCAGCATTTTTTAGTAACTCATGAATTAAGAGACCCAGGCACTGATCTTCAGAGGTTGCAGATGTCACGAAAAGAGACAAATGTGTGTCTCATAATGGAAGGATACAACCGCACCTATGAATTAGTCTTGTTCCCTCCCCCACCATTGAACCTAAATCTGATCAAACCTCTGGAGGAGCCAGTTTACATGTTCTTCATGTAAACATGCCTGTATTCAGCAAAACTCAGACTCCAGGCAACGCTGTGTGACAAACAGCCCTGTTTCCTCAACATGTAAATGCAAGAAATAAAAGAGAGAATGAGAGAAGTGGAGGGGAATTAACAGAATAAAAAAGAAGAAGAAGAAGAAGACAAATTGCAGTGTTGTGTGGGCCTTATTTGGACCCATGTTAGATAAAAAGATTTTTAAAGTTTTAGGACATCTTAAGCAACTGAACATTGGAACATTGACTCACTATTTGATGACGTTAAAGAATTATTAGTTTTAAAACTAGTGTAGTAGTAAGTGGTTTTAATGACCTGAGCCTTGAAAACAAGTGTTAAATTGTGGTCAGTATGTTTAGGAAGGTAGAAATGTAGGTTTCTCCTCTCAAAGATTTCCATATTCAGAGGTTAAAATATAATAAATGCTGAAAGGCAGCAGTATGATATAGTGCAAAAAGCACTTGGAATCAGATCAGATTGTCAAACCTCTCAGATCTTAAATTTCCCTTTCTGTGCAGCGGAAGGTTGCTTGACATCTACTTGAAATCCCATAAGTAAAGTATCTAGTGTAGGCAGGGAGTGTGGTGTGTGCATATTAAATGTGCACGCCCTTCTTTTCTTGAATAAAAATAAGTAAATATGCAAGCTTCAGCTAGGAGGAAAAAAAATCAAAGTGGGTCAAGTGGTGGAAATTTTTTCAGAAGGTCCGTCTCAAGCCACAGTCAGCATCCCTGTTGTCCAGTGTAGCTGACCTTTTTGAGACAAAAACCTGAATATGTTACTCTTGGTGTTTAAAACCATTTGGGGAGAAGTGCAGAATGCCTCTTCCTACACACCACTGCCCCTCCTTCACCTGACGAATTCTTGCTTTTCTTTTTGTGGCAGGGCTCCCCTGCCCTCCCAGGATTATTAGGTAAATGCCTTTCTTAAGTGGTTTCAGTAGCACCCCACACCTCCCACGAGAGCTCTCAAACCACTGGATGTAGCCGCACTAGACTTTGAACTGCTGGAAGGCTGAGCCTGTGTGACCTCTCATCCTTGATCCTCAACGTGCGCACAGTGCCTGACACATAGTAGGTGCCCCATGAGTGCGGGGGAATGGATCCTGTTAGAAGTCGAGAGCCCCCCAGGGAGTGAATGACAGGCACACATTTGTTCTGCCGCTGGTCATTCCTGTCCTTTGCCTGGGCCTGCTTTCTCAGAATGCTCCCCAAACTGGCAGTCTGATCCAGGCTCCAAGAAGGGGAAACCTCCCTCTACCGTTTTGACATTGAGTCCTCTTCCTTCTAAATTTGGGGTTGGAATTGTTTATTGGAATTTCCACGGTGCTTCAGAAATTCAGGCATTGTTGTCTTCTCACTTTTTTTCCATTGAGACTTCTGTTCAGACTTCTCTGGAACATTCCTATGTATCATCTTGAAATTGGCTTTGGGTGTCAAGATCTGCTACTTTATCCAGGGTCTTTGATGCCAGCAAATGCTATGAAGCCCAGCCTAATGGTGGTCTCTTCCACAGCGTGACTCTTGTGGACGGATGGTCCCTTTTGCAAGTGCCTCAAGAGTGCAAGGTTTAAAAATGTTCCTTTAGGGGGAATAGTATGGTCTTGTCATAGAGCACGCTGCTGGCCACCCAGAAGTTCGAATTCCAGTCCTGGCTCTCTGTGAGAGGCTCTGGGCACATCACTTTACTTCTCACAGCCTGTTTCCTGGAGAGGTGAAGAATTCATAGCAGCGGCTCAAGTAGAGGTTCAAGGATAGGCCAAACATCAGTAAAACTCAGGACACCTTCCTGGTCCTTCGGTCATACTCCCAGGGTTTGAGGGACGGAGCATGTTTCTGTGTTAAAACGGACGCAGATACTCCTCAGCAGAATGCAGGTTCAAGATGAATTTTAAGATGAAACTCAAGATTTTATTGACAGTTCAAGGAACACTGAATTCTCTGTGTTCTCTTCCAGTGCTACCTTTCCCTAATTGCTTCAGCCTCTGAACTTCTGGCTGCTGGGTAACCCTCCTGAGTAGAACATCCTAGTCCTCAATACTGCTGATCACATAAGGCATGGTTGTGATTGTAAAGAATGTATTATTTCTGAGGAGACAGAGTATTGCCTATGAGGCTAACGAGTGTCCAAGCAGAAGCCCTTTGGAATCTGCTTTTAAAAATAGCAAGAACCATTTATAATTAATACATCTTAAGCATCTATATATAGCCAACTGAAGTTCTAGAAAGGCTTCTTAGAGGCAAAAATACTTTCGGCTGAACTTAAAGCAGGCCTTATTATCAGGAGTTCAGAATCTGTGGCATCTAAATTAATGAGCTTTTAACCTTGTAGAAAACCTTGAAGTTAGATGAACCCAAAATGAAACCCTTTGTTTGAAAAAAGCATCCCAGGGTATCATCTTCCTTATCTTCCATAAGTGTTCTGTTTCTAATGATGCAAAGCTGATTTTAGCTCCTATATCATTTACCTCCCTACCATGATGATTCATCGATAATTATATGTTCAAGATTCAGTTCTTTCCCTCATAGTTCATTCTAGAGGCTTCTAATTATCACTGGGTTTTCAGTATATGTTTGTCTAAAGTTCTAACAGTTAATAAGTAGATCTGTAAAAAACCTTAAGTAAGTTTAAGGGGCAAATGGATAGATGGTTCTCATATTGGTGCCCCCTGATAAGCATTTTCCTCTCCTTATTTAAGAGAAAACCACAGCTGCTTCTTGAGAAAGAGTGACAATTTGAAGTGAAATTAGCAAGAGAAGAAATTGCCAATTTAAAAATGAGTATTTCTGGATCCTTACAGGATTCCTCTTAGAAAAGCTAGCATATCTGGATTTTAGCATCTTTCGCTTGACTTTTGAAAAAATGATCAAATTAAAATTATACAGCTGTCAGCATTGAAGCCAGACAGTTCACAATAGATGAGAAAAATTGCCTTTCTAAGACTGGTCTAATTAGGCTATAATGCATATGGAGGTTTTGCGGATTCCCTTCTCCAGTTAGAAAAGGGAGTGTTGCTTGCCAGCTTTCTTTGTCATGAAGTGAACTAAATAGTCCTTTAAAATAATAAATACATACATACATACATACATACATTTATGAAAACCAACAAATAGGGCATTCCATGGCATCTTCAGACAAAATAGGTACCTTCTGTCCTGAGGTTCCTGATTTTTATTTATTTCTCCTGTTGTCACAAGAAATAATCATTTTTTGAAACACAAAGCTAAATATGTTAAAGTAAACCCTTCTTAAAAGAAAACAAAAATAGTAATGGAACCAGAATTCTTCAATTTACTTTGAAAGATGTACACTCTCTGGTTATGACTTTTCCATTTTGGAAATGCAGAAAAAGCATTTTGTATTGCTGCCCTAATAGTTGGTACAATTGCATATGGACTCACTTTTAAATAATTAGGTAATTTGAAAAGAGAGATGTTTGCTCTGTTAGAATCATCATTTCCAGCCCTCTCAGACTTTGCTAAGGTCCTAGAATGAGATCCGTGAGAACAGAGTAGAAAACACAAAACCTTTCTGTTTCCATTTAACTTCTGTTGTTACTGTTTTAGGAAAAACATGATTTTTTTTCTTTTGAAATTAAAAATAATAGGTTATTACAGATGCTCATATGGTCCTTATCTTAGGCCCAATTTTAGCAGTATTATGCAGAAGAAGTGATTGGGGCAGGATTTCTCAAATTGATCTTGCCTAAAGGAAGAGGAAAAGGAAAATATTTTCCTCACAAATAAATTATCAGAATCAAATACCAAATGTAGAGAAAGTGGACCAAAGAATAGCTCAGCTTAAAATACGATTTTAAGAAAAAAGTTCTTTAATGTTTATTTTTGAGAGAGAGACAGAGACAGACATAGACAGACAATGCAAGCAGGGGGGAGGGGCAGACAGAGAGGGAGACACAGAATATGAAGCAGGCTCAAGGCTCTGAGCCGTCAGCACAGAGTCCAATGCGGGGCTCGAACCTGAGAGCTGTAAGATCTTGACCTGAGCCAAAGTTGGACACGTAATGGACTGAGCCACCCAGGTGCCCCCAAAATACAATTTTAAAACATGGTTGCTATTACTGTAAAAATCGTAATCATTTTAATACTTACTGAAATTTCAATTTTCATTTTAAAATTATGCTTTTTGGTCTGGTTGCATAGGTCAACAAGTAATGTTTGTTGAATTATTTTTCAATTTAATCCATTTTTTTTTATGTCCTGCATCTTTGGATATTTTTCATTATAAGCTGTCCACATATATAGGCATCACGTCTAAAATGGAGACCACATTTGTGTTCTTACAAAATCTATGCCTGTTGTGAAAGGTTACGCTGATTATAATAACCCCTGCTTGGAAATGATCAGTAGGTATTTAAAGGTAGAATATTACAATGAACTTTTTCTTCATGGAGTTATGTTTGGTTTACTATCTGTTAGTGAAATACTTTTTTACTGTAAGCCTTTTGGGGTTTTTTGGCCAACAGAAAAGTTTATGTTCTCTAAATCCTAAATCCTAAATGTGGTTGAATGGAAAGGTGTGTTCCTGTTAAATAGAAGTATGTACTGTTTCTTGTTGGACAGTGACAGTTTCCTCCTGAGGGATGTCTTTGTCTTTGAGAAAGTGTATTTTATTCTCGTGCCGCGAGGCTCAGGAGACTGACGCTCCTCTCTCACCTTTGCTTTGTCTCTTAGTGTGGCTGTCACCAGGTCCAGAGACGTGCCTTCCTTTGGACCTCCCATCCCCAAAGGGGTCACTTTCCCTAAGTCAAATGTGTTCAGGGACTTCCTTTTGGCCAAAGTGATTAACGCAGAAAACGCTGCGCATAAATCAGAGAAGTTTCGGGCCATGGCAACTCGGACCCGCCAGGAATACCTGAAAGATCTGGCAGAAAAGAATGTCACCAACACCCCAATTGACCCATCTGGCAAGTTCCCATTCATCTCTCTGGCCTCCAAGAAGAAGGAGAAGTCTAAGCCATATCCGGGAGCTGAACTCAGTAGCATGGGGGCCATTGTGTGGGCCGTCCGGGCCAAAGACTACAACACAGCTATGGAAATAGACTGTCTGTTGGGGGTCTCCAACGAATTCATCGTCCTCATCGAGCAGGAAACAAAGAGCGTGGTTTTCAACTGTTCCTGCAGAGATGTGATAGGGTGGACCTCGACTGACACCAGCCTCAAGATCTTCTACGAGCGAGGAGAATGTGTTTCGGTGGAGAGTTTAATTAATAACGAGGATATCAAGGAGATTGTAAAGAGGTTGCAGGTGAGTGTTTTCCTTCCATTGGCCTACATTCAGTGTCCCTCTCATAAAGCTTTCAATACAGACCAGAACCAAGTTGCCCTAGTGGGTGCTATTTTCTTAGCTCCTCTGAAAATTCCCTGGTGATCTGAAGCAACCCAGAGTTTATGTCACACTTGGTTTCCCTCCTTTTTCAGAAGGAAAAGTAGAACCAGTGGGAGAAGACACATTTGCTGTGCGTTTGTGTTGGAAACCATTTGCGTGTGACCTGGTCCCACTGCCCTGGTGGCTGGCGACGTAGCCCAGCCAGTCTGCTTTAGCCGTCGAGAAGAATTGTTCGATTGAGTGTCTGTGCTGCCGTGAATTTCTTAAGGGCGAAGCGAGTGGCAGAATACGGTCTCTCTTGGCTGCCAGCTCCCCGTAGGTCTCTGTGAGAGGGTTTCCTTGTAAGTTCAGTGAAGTCATTGAGTGCTTTGGACGCAACAAGTATGTTCTTTCTGGCCTAATGAATGGAGGTTAGTGAAGGGGAAATAACCACACTGCTCCTCAGCCGGCAGCGGGGTATTCAGAATCACCCTGCTTGCAGTGTTTTCCAAGTTCCCTGTCCACCACTTAACCCCCTATGGCGCTAAACCATTATACCTTTTGTTTCCTTGTCCAGTTTGTGTCAAAAGGTTGTGAATCAGTGGAGATGACTCTGCGAAGGAATGGGCTAGGCCAGCTTGGCTTCCATGTCAACTACGAGGGCATCGTGGCCGACGTGGAGCCCTATGGCTATGCCTGGCAGGCAGGGCTCAGGCAGGGCAGCCGGCTGGTGGAGATCTGCAAGGTGGCGGTGGCCACCCTGAGCCACGAGCAGATGATTGATCTCCTGAGAACATCTGTCACGGTGAAGGTTGTCATCATCCCCCCGCATGACGACTGCACCCCACGGAGGTAGGTCTGCGTTGGCCGCTGTGAACCTAGGAATCCAAGGCCGGGTTTGTGCACCACGTAGAACATCCATCTCCTACCGGGTGGGGGAGGAGGCTGCCGCGAAGCGTGCCGGGTTACATGCGGCGCTCAAAGTTCCGTCCGTGGAAAGTCTGACTCGGGACATAGCTCCCTTTCAGCCTGTGTCAGCAGCAGCTGGGAAGAGTGACTAACTTGGACCATTCCCAGGATTTACATCTGTGGATTTAGAAAGTTGCCATTACAGATAGAGAAGTCTGGTAATACCCGTCTTAAACATCTTGCACCAGTAGCTGAGAAGCATTGAGCACTTATTATTAGAAGACCCTGAGCAACACAGACCGTCAGGCTTTTTTGCTTTATGTTCCATGACACTCTGATTCTTTCTGTCCAAACTTCGGAATGCCATTTTGACCCCTGCTGTCTCAGCCTGGAACCCTGGACATGACTTAGCAGGTGTTTGCTCAACTGCATCTGTGTCGGGAATCGGCTTCAAACAAGCTAGTGCTGCTCGTGATGCTTTGGCAGTTTGGTTCCCGGCCTTTCACAGAGGGAAGCCCAGGAGCTCCCCACCCCTCCCAGTTCCTGCCCAGCCAGCAGCATTCGTGAAAATTTAATTTCTCGGTCTTTAGGGAGGTTTCTTGATGGAACAAATTTAATCAACTGTTTCTTTTCTCCTTTGGGCATGTCCATGTTATTTTCACTAGTTTTTTTCAATCTGTTAATTTGCCTTCAGCCCATTATTTTCTAAGAGTTTCTCTTAAGCTTTGGCAATTAATTCTTAGGCCTTCTAAAGCCAAGACAATATCCCTAACCTTCCCCCCGCCAAAACGTGACCTGTCCTACACCTGGGCTCTCAAAGATTCATGAACAAGAGATGGCAGAATATGTAAACAGTTATTATGGGTTGTGTCTTTTAAGAAGTAAGCAGCAATGTCAACCTGAATGTACTTCCGTTCTTCAAATCAAGTGTTGCAGACCAGACCGCACTCAGGGTAGTATTTCTGAATCCTGCTTACTGCCTAGATGGCCCAGAGCCTAAGTGCCTGTGTCAGAATACGGTGAGCTGTCTTTGTCTAATACCTTTAAGAAATGCTCCCTTTTGGATGACTGGATTTCTCTGGAAACCAAAATATCCAGAACTTTGTATTTTAGCTCTTTGGGGGAAGGGGGGTTATTCTGAAACACGTGCCCTGCCTTAGTTACCCCGGTCTTCTCTGGGTTTCTCAAGCACATCATCATCACTGTTAAGCATTTTGCTGAACTGGGATTCAGGAATGACTCTGGAGGTGGACGGAAGTGCTTGCTAGGTCCTTACAGGGCTCTCCAGCTGCTCTGTACTTCTCCTCTGGTCACTCTGTCTTCTGTCCCTTGGTCTCTCCTTCACATTGTCTACTTGATTGCTTCTAAACAGGCAGCTATAAACTGGAGACGATAACCAAGCTTTGTAACTTGTCAACCTTAATTACCTATAGTACAGTTAAAGACGCTGGTCTGAGGACTAATGTTCTCAGAATGAGTCTGTAAATGGTGTGGCGTCATCTTTCTGTTCAGAGGCCTTTCCCCTGGCTTCTGGGCTCCCAGTTGGGGGGGCGGGCAGGGAAATAGGTGTACGTGAGTGTATGTGATGAATTGGGTGGAATGGGCAACATTGCTGACTTTGAATTGTGGTTGGTGGTTACTGAAAGGTTGGGTCAGAAGGCCTGGCCCTAGAGAGATAGGCCTATGGTAGGAGATGGTTTATCTACAGCAGTATACTAAGCTAGATAGGTCTTCTGTGGTGTGTTGCTAAAAACAACTAAAAAATGTGTTGACAATTTAATTTGCCAGATCCTAGAAAAAACACTTTTACATGGATTAGTGCATTTAATCCCTATAACTACTTTATGAGGTCATAGTATTAATATCATTCCTATTTAAAGGAAACCAAGACTCAGAGAGGTTAGTAACTTTCCAAGCTCATCTGGCAAGTTTAAGTTTCACTTCAGAATCCAAGCTCTTAACTACTACTCTGTATGCTTGGGGCACAGATCTGGTTTTTACACACCAGTATCAGGAGGAATCTGCTGGTACATTCGCTTTCTGTTGAGGACAGGAACCTTGATTTGTAGCATTTGCTGATTCCCATGGTGTAAATACTTCCTCTGGTTGATTTCAAGCTACCAGCACGAACCCACTGAAGGCAGAGTGGGGGCGGATGCTCACAGTCTGCTCTCGCAAGCCAGGACAGACCGGCTCCGCACACCCCTGAATGAATGAGCCGTGTTTGTCTTAATCTTCAGCTCTGCTGCTGAGTCACTCATTGCCACTCTCCTAGCCAGTGGAGCGGGCATCACTTGACAGAGAGGTGCTAGGAATGTACCCCCCTGAGGGTGTGGGATGGGGATGCTGGGATGAGAGATCATCAGCGCACCCACCAACCCCCACCGCAGAACCCCTTCCCTGGGAAGCATGCTCTGTGCCTTTCACTACAGTTTCCATCCGGAAACCCACAGTCACACCTTCTGGGCAGGTGTGAAATGGCGCCATTCATGCCTTTGGAGGACCGGAAGCCCACTCTCCCCTTCCCTCCTTTAGAAGCAACTTCAAAGGAACAGTTGAAGCATTAGCACCTTGCTGTAATTTTCAACAAAGTAAGATAATGCTCTTCTGTCATTTTTCTCTTCTCCTCCACACTTCACACTCCCACTGCTGTTTTCCTAGCAACTAATTACTCTGTTCCTTGACTAGTCACTGTCTCCTTTGTCGGCTGTTCCTGCAGCTCCAGCGTGAGGCGGAACAAACAGGCCTCCCCCAGGCACCCTGTGCCCCGCTGCCCCTCAGCTGCCTGCTTCTCGCGTCCCCAGGATGCTCAGGGGTCATAGGCGATCACCCGTGTGTATTCACATGGGAGAGTCCTTAGCTGTGAAAGGCAGGTCTTTTTGTTTTAATGAAAAAGACAATTTAACAGCAAAGTGGAGCTCCAATAATAAAAGTAAAATAGGGCTCTTTTCCTTCTTCTTAGGATATAGGCAGATCCTCTATGAATTGCTTTCAAACTAAAGGGGTTTTTTAAGAGAAGAAAGGACAGGGGGAGTAAAGCAAAACTCCTGAGCTCCTATTATGTATTGCTCATTAAAAAAAAAAAAA